TGTCCGAAGTTGATGTTGTACGATTCGCTGTTTGGAAGACAATCTCGCCATTTGCGTGGGCAATGTCGATTCCGAACGACTTTGCTCTTGTTCTACCAATCAAGTCATGTCCACATCCCGTGTTCATCAAACCATTCATTCCAGTTTCATACCCCCTTTCCCTCATACGTCCGTGTTACTGTGAATCCCGGTCTCGTGGAAATCCGAGTTAAAAGGAAAAATTTAGATTCATGGCCAAGCCAGAGTCCGGGTATCTAGTTCGCGCCAACGAGAAAAACCAGCCCAGGTTTCGCAAAGAAATCCAGGCTTCAGTAGAGGAACTGAACGTCCGGGAAGGTTGTGCTCACGCCAACCAGCCGAGGAGGGGGCTTCCCTTTCCTTGCCTGAGTCTTGTCCTTGGGCTGAACATCCTGTGTGTTGAGGGCCAGGAGGTTTGGTAGCAGGATCCAAACTGGTGTGAAACCATCCACCACCAAAAGTTGCCGCCCGTTTCTGCTCCTGGGCAGAGAGCTCCATTTACAGCGCAGAGCAGGGCCAATTCGGAAGCAGAATAGGCGTTGCCTTCATTGTCACTTCGCAAAGGGATGTGGGCCTTGAGGTGATTTGTGCTCTGCCGCGAACATGAAGAGAAGGAGCGATCCCAGGAGTTCCAACGCTGCGATGCGCCTGTCGAAAGCGAACCACCAAACCTGATGATCCTTGTCCGTCGTCACGCGCGGAGTGTAGCTTGATCAGCGTAGCATGGGCTGGAGCTTGTCGCGGCAGCCCTCGATGTCCACCAACGACCGGTTCTGGGGATTGGGCCCCACAAGGTTGACCCATCATGTACTTCCAATCCTGGCTCCGGATCTTGATCCTTACTGACATCCGACTTGACGAGGGCAAGGTCCTCAGCTGCGAGTTGTCCTTGGGTCGAAAAGCAAATCATGAAGTGTGGGAGAAGTAGATGTTTGCCATCGCGCCCATGCATAGAGCGGTGTGTGTGTGTCCCAGCCCAGTTTTCAAAAGCCCTGAAACACATTTTCCTCCAAGCGGCACGGCGGCCAGAGGTGGCATGCACCCTCTGGGGGCATGAGAGGAAAAGGGGGAGACACCCCGATGTGTTTGGGCAGGGAAAAGGAAAGGTCGCGGACAGACCACCTGCTGTTGGAGTGGGCGGTGTGTCCTCGGCTGGTACCCAATTTTGCAAGAAGTACCATGCCTTCAACAAATGTCCCCCATCCTCCTTCCGTCGGGGAAAGCATGTGAGAAGAACTGTCTTCCTCCTAGACTCCTTCAGCGACTCCTTCCTGAGTGGGGCTCCCGGGCGCGAATCCTTTGTGCGGGCGAGTCGTAGCAGCACCAGGGCAGCAGTCAGACATGTGGCACAACCAGACCGACAAGTTGCATCGTCGCTCACCCCAATCCAGGTGGGACATCGCTCGAGACCTCTCCAGGATGTAAACAACGAGGACCTTGCAAGGGCTCCGACAATGGCAGGGCCAGGTTTTGGTCCCAGGGATGTTCACGTGGAGCCGGCCACAAAACTGGGACCTCGGCATTTCCAAGACCCTGGCTATCTGGTGGGTGGTCCGGACTTGCCCTTACCCTTCTTGGACCATCTCTGCGCAGCTTTTTCCCTAGCAAGGTCGCACCACCTCCACGCCTCCCGACTGTCCTGAAGATCCGGAGCGTCACCGATGTCTCCGCCCAGTTCTACTTGCGATGGTCGGCGGCAAGGACATCGACAAGAATGGATGCAACAGCAGGGCCAGCCCCAAGCTACAACGGGCTGTCTCTTCAAGTCCGAGGAATGTCCTCGGCGGGCGCCCTCCAGCAAGGCGCTCGATGACTTCAGCTGCCACCCAGACGGTGCCAGGCCTGCAGCGAGCCCATTCAACCTGATCATGTTCCGGGGCCACCCCAAACTTTGCTGGATGCTCCAGAGCGTGTGGGAAGGTCACAAGTCATGCAGAACAGCAAAACAACCCCCTGAGTCACACACACACCGGAACGCCGGAAAAGGAAGGATGCTTTTTGCTGGAAGTTGAGGGTGCTGGGCCTTTCCTGGGTGCGGCCCCACATAAGCTGCTGGGACAGAACCCCGACGCGGGTGTGCCTGGGACCAGAAGCCAAGCAACTACGGCGCCTGGTCTTCTTGCACAGCCGGCGCGATGAAGGCAGCGGATCTTGTCGTCAATCTTGGGCGTGTGACACACACGGAAAAATAGGACAATCCTTGCTTTGCTCCCTGTGGCACAACCATACATCAAACACAGGTCTAGCTTGCGGCGCCTGATTATTCGCCTCTATCCGGCTGCAACTCCTAGGCGCTCTTGCTGTTTGTTTCTCGACAGCCTCCACTTGCTAGCAACAGTGTTGACATGCTGCGCGGCTCAGACGATCTGCGTACTTCAACATCATGAGGCCCCCTTTCATATGACGCAGCCGCGGCCAACGATGCTGCATCATTTTCAGGGAACTTGTAATTCCGTCACACCTATTCCTGTTTTCCCTACAGATCCTCATCTTAGCCCGGGCCGCTCCGGCTGCTGGAAGGTCTACATTGAAGATGGGAACATCACGCTTCACCCTTGAGGCGTGCCACCGCTTTTCTACTGGGGAGCCCTGTTGCGTCGCTGACATGCCTGGATGAAAGTTCTCACTCAGTGAGAAACTGATAACAACATCTCTATATCTGCCCCCTTCAACTGTTAATGCCCCTTGCAAGCTCTCCCAAACATTAGCACACCTGTCAAAGAAGGTCTGAAGGTGCCGCCGACAGCGCTGAGCTTCTGCGACCCACTCCAACGGCTTTGCCTCTTCCCTTACCCTTCAGCTCATCTTTTATTACGTGGGAAATCTGACGCGCTCAGAAGTCCCTCCGTCAGCGAAGCTTTTTGGAGTTGACAGTCCTCCACGGTCAAGCTGGCTTCACTAGCGCGTTGTTCAGCTTGCGACTGGAAAGGTCTACAAGGCTCTGTTCTTTCTGATCCAAAACTCTCTGAGCATTTTCCAGCTCAACATCGCAACATCTGGACGCTTCGATCTCCTGAGACGCATGTTCGCGCTACGAACAACGCGCTGACGCTCTTGGTCCTGAGCTTCAAACATGAAGCGCGTCCTGCCTGCGGGCCTTCATTGCACTACGGCCTCCACTCTGGCAGTATAAATCAACACAGCTGTCTGCGTTAACATGTTAGCTTGCGGGCTCCGGCCGCCCCTCCCCGTTGGAACAAGACTTTGCGCAGGCGCTGGGGCCTGGGGAGTCGGCTATCCTGCTGCTCCATTCTCACTGACTGGCTTGTTCGCTGCTGCACGGATCACTGGATGGCTGATTTGCTTGCGGCGCATCAGTGAGGTCTCATATGTCTCCAACTTTCCCTAGACCTAGGCGCGCTTGATCCCCTACTATTGCTCTCCCTCAATGTCAGATTGACACTCTGCGTCCGTCTGACTCCTCGCTGGCCTTGTGGGAACACATTTCTGGAGAGAAGCCTGCGGTGAAGATGTTTCCAGACAGTTCTTCAGCCGGCAGCTTACTCAGAAAAGTGAGTGAGCGCTGTCGCCTCAAACATGTTTAAATTTCCCATGTTTGGATTCAGCGTGCCGTTGGTTACCCTACACACCGTAAGCGCCAAGACAAACGTTGCAGACTTGGTGACCAAACCCCTCAACGGTCCTCAGGCTGCAACCCTCTGTCAGCTTTTCAAGCTTGTGGATTCCAGCAATGACTTTGCGCAATTCGCTTACCGTGCTCACGGTTGCACCTCGCGAGAGCACGAGGGAGGCACGCTTGGCCGGCATGTTGAATGCCCCGATCTCTTATTGCTATGACAAATCTTGGTCGCGCGCTCGTAGACGAGGCGATACCAAGGCTTTGGGCGCATTGTCTTGGACTTTGTGCAACGCTGGCAGCAGTGCGTTGGCGAAGATCATTTGCTCTGGGTGCACAAGGCAGCATCTTGCACGCAAGTCTCCTCCATCTCTCGCAACTCTTGGCGCGTGCCAAACAGAACCTGAAATTCATGATAGCCATTCATCATGACAGGGTCTTCCTTAACAATGTCAATCTCTGTCCACATGTGTCGAACCTGCAAATACATCCATAGAACACAAGCAAAAACGCATACCATAAAAATTGAAAACACACACACACACACACGCTGCTGCTCTCAACGGGCGGCTGGAAATCGAACGCCTCATTACTGCAAGCAACTTTGCCAGTTGTTTCTGTCTGCGACACGTTGGAAGTTGTAGGCATTCCGCCACATGACAAGATGCACACTTCAAGTCGGTTAGTAGCGTCATCAACTCATCGTTGAAGAGTCGCCTCGAGAGGACATCGTCGAGATCCAAGCGTCGCAGCCGAGAGGCGCAGCAAGGCTAGAGCTGATCTTGAGCGAACGGGTGCTCCCGTTGGTGTAGCTGGGTTGGCGCAACACATCGCCTCGCATCACGCAGTTGTCTCCAACAAAGGGAGTGAAGCGCGCCTCGAAGTGGGTTACCTCCGTGCCTCCGCGCACGCTGTCGCCCGTCCTCCCGAAGCCGAAGATCTCGGCCAGATGGCGACGACATACACCAGCTGCTGTACGGTTGATGGCCACGCCCTCCAGTAGGCTCTGAGAAAAGATGCAACGACTATGGCGGCTTACCTAAGCTTGAGCAGCGCAACTGCACCCAAACAAGCGCGCTGTTTTCCTTGAGCCACACGCGAAACACCAGTCCGTGGCGAGGGCACCAAAGCCTCATTGACATGGCGATTCCGCAGGCCTGTGAGTGAAGAGTTTCTTGCGCACACAGAATTGCATTGCGGTTTGGCGATATTCTTTTTTATCTACATACAAGCTACTCTTCATCTAGGACATCGCTCCTCACAGCCCCATCGCAACACTCACGCGCTTCAGCATTTTGTCATGTCATGGCAGATGACACAATACTCTTCGCCTCGCGAGTTGTGAGCCACACCCATATGGCAGCTGGGTTCCCAAACGCACGACGCAGGGAAACTCTCACCGCGCCTAGGAAACCAAGAGCCAGCAGGATCATGTCGGCCTCCAACATCTTCTCGCTTCCTGGCACCTCCACCATTCCTTTGCCAGGGAAAAAACTCAAGCACTTCAGTTTGGCTGCATTGGTCGTGGGGCGGAAGCCCTTGTGCCTACACACAGAGCAGCTTGCGAATGTCCGCTTCTGGGCGAATGCAAAAAATGGACTGCAGAGCCATCGCAAATCATGAGCATGTGCTTTGCGCGTGGGGATTGAACTCCAAGTTGCGCATCTGGCCATCAATCCTCTCCCACCGCACATTGACCATCTTGATGCCCTTCAAGTTGCCGTTTCCATCGTCCAGAAACTCCTTGTGAGGGACACCAAGGCTTAAAGTCAGCTTTGCAGCCCAGACCCGTTCCTGCCTTGGTCAGGGCTCCGTACTCTCCTGAGCACAAACAACCGGCCAGACTTGCACACGCTCAGTCCTTCTACAAGCAGAAGAGTCCATCTTTGGCCGACCTTGTGGCCCCCTTCAAGGCTTGCACAAAGTGCTTGATATCCAGCAAGCGCCCCCAATAAGCCTGAACCCCCAACCCTCCAAATAACCCAGCCGAGATCAGCCCTAGACCAACACTGAACCAACTCAATCAAGCGTAAACCCACTGAGACCATCGACCCTAAGTCATCAAACCACTCGAAACCTCATAACCCAAAACCCACCACACAAGCTACCGCAAACCAACCCCAGCCCGCCCCAAACCCCCTACGTGCCGCAGAGCCAAGGGAGCAAAGGTTTCGAAACAAACATTTTCGTGGACAAGTAGCGTGTCGGTCTGTGAAGCTAAAATTATACACGTGAATTTCCTCTCAGAGATTCCCAGAAAACAAGCAGACTAAACTCTCCAATGAAATATGTGTGGTCAAAGTTTGAAAAGTAGCCATTGATGGGTTTCCTTAAAAGTTTCCTAAGGCAAAACGAGCATTCACAGGAAGAATGTGCTTTCAAGACAGAAACAAACCTTTCACGCCGGAAACGATTGTTTCTTCATTCATTCCAAGGAGAATCAATACTGACAGCTCCGCAGATTTTTCCTCTCAATCGAAGCAAGGTGTCTCAACCCACATTCCTGTGGCATTTGCCTTGGAAGCCACAGCTGGTTGCTCCATGCTGTGGCCCGGTCACTCTAGCCGATATCCCCGGCGCTTCGGGTTCTGCCCCCGAAGTGTGCTTAGGATACCCTGCAGTTTTCCTGCAACCTCCCAAGGCACTTAAACAGATCCTAAGGCGCTCACAGGAATTCAGCAAAAGTAATGACAGCGCGATACGAGCCTCAGTAGCGCAGGAGTAAAAAGACTGTAGTACAGCTGGAAGCGGTGATCCAATTGAAACCTGCAAACCCTAGCCTTCCAAGACCTGATGCAGGAATAGGAAACTAACGTTTCCGCACATTCGACAAAGAGTATAAGGGCGACTTCAGAAGAAACATTTGCTTTGTTCAGAGAAACAAAGGTTCCATAGATAGCCATAAGTTTGTTTATTGTCTTGAAACAAGCGTTAGGCAAAGCCAATAGTTGGCTTGTTGAAAACCAACAACCTGACCTAGTGACGTGCTCCCCATTGCGCAACTCAGTTCTTCAGCACCTCTTCAGCGAGCTGTGGCAAATCGCTCCAAGGCTCGGATGTCCTTGTTGCCATTCAGGGGCGCAGCCTGACGGCAGGAGCTTCTCTCTCTCTCCGTACCAGCCACGGTCCGAGCCCGTGCTCGGAGTACTTGCAGCGCAAACAGGGATTTAGGGCCTCTCTAAGCTGAGCTTGACAACCGAGAGCTTCGCCCGTCGCAGGCAAGGCAGTTTGGCGCAACTTCCGGGATCTTGCAAAAAATGCAAGCCCATGCCAAAACATCGCACCTCTTCATGTCCGTAGTCCACCTGCTTCGGAAGTTGCCAAAACATCCGACGGCTCATGCAGCTGAAGTGGCGACCAAATCAAATGCTTCAAATGCTTGCTCTCTGCGTGCCATCCTCTCTGCGTGCCTTGAAAACGATGGGCCAATGGGGCCAGGGATTGCTGGGGGACCGGGACTTCGGGGGCTGCGGCATGAGCTCCAGGTTGATGACCTGAAGTAAAACAGCCTCTTGCGCTTGTTCCAAAACGCATCGCACACGTACCACGGGGCCAGCACCGACTTCGCACCCTGACGCACTGCAGTGCCAATGCAGTCGTTCCCGGTGTCTCCACCTGCACGGTATGCGAAGAAACAGACCGGCTCAGCCAGCAGTGCCGTGTCTACGATCCCAGACAAACCCAAGCGCGAAAGGAATCACCAGCATGACATGGTCTTGCCAACTTCCAATCACACAGGTAAGTCGATTCCATGCCAAATGCTTTGGGGAAAGAACGGTTTTGCCTGTCAAGGACAAATTGTCCGGAAAGGCCTCCAATGACAATGACTTTCCTGTCCTTGGCATCCAAAGCCTTGGGGTCCGTACCTGGGCACAGCGAAAATCATATCTACTGGGTGAATTTAACTGTGCATGCTGCGTTTTAAGCGTTCGAAAACCTCGAAACACCCAAAGTCAAAAAAATGCCCAAAGTACAAAACCTTTGTGCAAAAAGCTAGAAGCTCAAGCCTGAACCCGTCTAAATGCTGAGCACAGGGCCGTTCTTTTTGGTTCCCCACCAACGGCGCCACTTGCTGCTGACATCACCTCCATCCAGCAGCTCCTGATGGGAGAGGCTGGCGGTTGGCTCCATGCACTTACAAGTTGGGCCGAGTTAGGCCGAGTTAGGCCTGGTTGAGCGCGCGCTCACTCGGTCCAAAGCGGCTTGAGTCCAAAGTATTTCAAGCGCCTTGGTGTTGTGCGTGAGATAGTCCATCGCCAAGTGGATTCCGTTCAGGTCGCGTCCTGGCACCTCACAATTAACTGAGAGCTCGCATGAATCCAGTCCAGCCGATGTCAGGAACACAGGAAAAAGAATCACTCGGAAGAAAAAGAAAACAAACTTCTTTTATTCTTTTTCTCTTTTTCTTTCCTTTTCGCTTTGTCTTCTTTTCGCTTCGAGTCGGGCACAGTCTGCATGTCTCTGGCCACGGTGGAGCCCACCGCCAGCAGAATCGCATCGTACTCCTCGAGAATCGACTCGACGAGTGGAACGAGTCAACCGAACTTCGAAGTCGAAATTCGAAACCGAAGAAATTCCGAAATTCGAAGTTCGAGATAATCGAAGAAATTCCGAGATTTTCGAAATTCGAAGAAATCGAATTCTCCGAATCGTTATTGGGAAAGTCGAGTTGGGAATCGCCTGGCGAGGCGACAGAACGCCGTCCGGCAAAAGTTGCAACATGTGAAAGTCAACCCTGTTGACTCGTTGAACCTTTCCTGGGCGTGCTGCCAATTGGGGCACGATGGGGGGGAAAGCAAGAAAGGAATCAGGGGAGGATCGGTTGAGAGGAAAAAAGGGAAAGGGGGAAGGAAAGAAAAGGGATTAAAAAGGAATGAAAGGGAATGAACAAAAATAAAAAATAAAGAGCAAAACCTGAGCGGGATCCAGACCTCGAGGAGCTGGGCCGCCCGGGGGCCAGTGTTGGTGCCTTCGATGCTGCCCTGCGGGAAATGCACTCAAAAGTGACGCCATGGGTCTGTTTTAAGGGACCCTTGTATGTTTTGCTTTTTGAATGTTTGCAAACTACAACTTGGAGGCAAACTACAACTTGGAGCTGCGTGATAAACAGTTCTCGCAGAAGCGAGCGGGGCCCCAAAACAAGCGGACTGTGCTGTGCAAAAATTGGGCCCCCAAAAAAGGCAATGCCACGGTTGTCCCTTTTGCCGTGCCAAGAGTGGGCGAAGACAAATGGGCCCCAATCAAGGGTAAGTTGCTCGGTTCCAGCCTCCTGGGAGCTCTCCGCAACACGGCCAGCTGCACCCGTGATGAAGGTGATACCTTCCTGCTTCATGATGCTCACACCTGACCCGAAACCGCAATGTCAATGCCTCCCAGCTGCCAGTTGAGATAACGAATCCTAGAAATCTACCTTCCCCAAGCTCGGCCCCCCAGCGTCGCTGCACCACATCCATCTTGTCGGTCTTCATGTTGGGCACGCCGTACATCATAAGGCCTCCGCAAACTCAATGCGCACACATGAGCCAATGCAAATCACACCGGGCGAAGGTTTGTCAAAAAGGGCAACTGCAGCAAGCTCCCTTGGATCAAGCCAATCCAACGTCAACACTAGGTGCTTCAAGAGAAAGGCAGTGTTTGAGTCTAGGGAGCCCGGGGTTCCATGGTGGCATGGACCGAGAAGACATCCGCTCGGAGGCCAACTCTTGCCTCCAATGCGGTCAGAACGCTCCAGGACAGTGACGCGATGGCCCATCTTGTTGAGCTGGTCAGCAGCCGCCAGGCCACCTTGCACTTGCCGTCACTTGCCATTTGATTCAAAGCAAACGGAAACCGAAAAGTTTCGGGCTAGGAAACGGCTGAGGGCCGGGCAAGGCCCAGAGCCCACAATGACCACCCTGGGCTGCTGATCCATGGACCGTGTAGTTCGCTGTTGAAATCTCATGAAGCGAAAAAACACTGATAGACAATCCTCAACCCCTTCCTCCCAGCCCAACCTGCCTCTTGTCCGAGCGGACGGCTGGCGGGGCTGGCTTCATCCAGCCCATCTCGTAGGCCTTGTCGATGATGGTCAGCTCCACAGACTTGATGCTGACCTATAGTTTCTCATGTGCCATCTGGAACCCCCTGCTTGCCGCTTTCTTTCTGAAGACAAGGAAATCAAAGTGACATACAATTGGCGTGGTCCCTCTCATTCTTGCACATTCCCGAGTCAGCCTCGGTTGGTTTGGGCTGAACTGAACGGGACTGGGATTGGCTCCACAGTTTGAGCTTGGTCTTGGGTTGGGAGGAACTTGTTCAAAGGGAAGTTGAGTGGTGAGGTGCTGTAACGTGGCTAAGGGTTGGGCTAAGAGCTGAAAATAATTCGGCACGATATCAATCTTGGTTTTTCCCGAAAGCATCGCGAAGGGTTCTTCCGTGAGTTACACAGAGCCAAGTTGCACAGAGCCAAGTTGCACAGAGCCAAGTTACATAGAGCCAAGTTACATAGAGCCAAGTTACATAGAGCCAAGTTACATAGAGCCAAGTTACATAGAGCCAAGTTACATAGAGCCAAGTTACATAGAGCCAAGTTACATAGAGCCAAGTTACATAGAGCCAAGTTACATAGAGCCAAGTTACATAGAGCCAAGTTACATAGAGCCAAGTTACATAGAGCCAAGTTACATAGAGCCAAGTTACATAGAGCCAAGTTACATAGAGCCAAGTTACATAGAGCCAAGTTACATAGAGCCAAGTTACATAGAGCCAAGTGGCACAGAGCCAAGTGACACAGAGCCAGGTGGCGCAGAGCCAAGGTTAGGTAGAGCTTGCGTAGAGCTTCGGCGTAAGCAGCTATGTAAGTTAGTTTAGGTTTCTAAGGCGCCGGGGCGGGAGTTTGATCATCGCTCAATTGCGATCTGCGACCGTCGAGGTTCAAAAACTGCGGACTTTTTACGATTTCTGCAAGCCGCGCGCGACCCTCTGCGGAGATTCGCGTGGTCGAGGTTCAAAAACTGCGGACTTTTTACGATTTCTGCAAGCCGCGCGCGACCCTCTGCGGAGATTCGCGTGGTCGAGGTTCAAAAACTGAGACTTTTTGCGATTTCTGCAAGCCGCGCGCGACCCTCTGCGGAGATTCGCGTGGTCGAGGTTCAAAAACTGGGGACTTTTTACGATTTCTGCAAGCCGCGCGCGACCCTCTGCGGAGATTCGCGTGGTCGAGGTTCAAAAACTGAGGACTTTTTACGATTTCTGCAAGCCGCGCGCGACCCTCTGCGGAGATTCGCGTGGTCGCGGTCAAAAAACTGTGGACTTTTTTACGATGTCTGCAAGCCGCGCGCGACCCTCTGCGGAGATTCGAGCGTCGAAGGCTTCCAAAACTGAGGACTCTTTACGATTTCTGCAAGCCGCGCGCGATGCGGAGATTCGAGTGGTCGAGGTTCCAAAACTGAGGGCTTTTTACGATTTCTGCGGTGCGCACGACCCGCGAAATGGCCTTTGGAAGTTGTCTCGTGGCTCGCGCGCCTGCTTTCGCAATCCCGCGGTCCCGGGTTCGATTCCCCCCTGGTCCGCGGCAGCTTTTAAGTACAAACGTAGTACGCGGAGCGTGCTCCTGCAGCTCCGGCTGGAAAATCGCCACTTTTAAGTGCAGACGTAGTATGCGGAGCGTGCTCCCGCAGCTCCGGTTGGAAAATCGCAACTTTTAAGTACAGACGTAGTATGCGGAGCGTGCTCCCGCAGCTCCGGCTGGAAAATCGCAATTTTTAAGTACAAAAACAGTACGCGAAGTACGTTCCCACAGCTCTGGCAGCACTTGCGCAGAGCAACTTGCGCAGAGTCACTTGCGCAGAGCAACTTGCGCTCTGCGAATTGCACAGAGCAGTTGCACAAAGCACTTGCGCAGAGCAACTTGCACAGACCAACTTGCACAGAGCACATGCGCAAAGCGCTTGCACGGAGCAACTGGCGCAGAGCGCTTGCGCAGAGCAACTTGCTCAGAGCACTTGCGCAGAGCAACTTGCACAGAGCACTTGCGTGCAGCAGCTTGCAGAGAGCAACTTGCGCGCAGCAGCCTGGAACAATGCAGCTTGCGCAGACCACTTTCGTGAGAAATCGTGCAGCGCAACTTGAGCAAAGCACATTGCGCTGAGCAGACTTGCGCAGAGCCACGCTTCACAGAGCCAAGTTTGCGCCAGAGGACCTGGAAGTGCACAGACAGTTTTCGTAGAAAGCCAACTTTCTTCTTGGGAGCGGTGCGTCAGAGCCCATCTTGCGCAGAGCTAAAGTTGCGCGAGCAGTGCTTTTCAGTAACGTGGCCTCGTGTAAGCTTTTTGCTATTGTTTTGCTTTTCCCTTTTGCTTGAAATTCGCTTCGAGCTTTACGAGATTCCATCTTCTTGTTTTAAACGGATGAAAATATATGGGTCAGCACTGCCATGTTTCCTCTCGTAGGGACGGATGAGTTGGACCTCTCATTTCATTGTTGACCATTTACACATTGAGCGTCGCCGCGTGCAGACACGCTCGCAGCAGGCGGATTGTAAAAAGGTGTCTCCGCGGCTGGATGAGGATTTGGGGAAAAATGCCTTCGGGCCAATCATCCTCTAGTTTGTCAGCTATTTTGGCTGCCTGTGCTAGCTTACAAGGGCACGAAATAGATTCTAGAAAAGAAATACGGATGATTTGCGCCTTTCTAGCATCAGTTTTGAGCCCATCCAAATGTGGTTCGGAGCTGATAAATGAGTATCTCTTTAGATGACTTGGGCTTCGCCCAGTGTTATTGCTCGTGGCGTTTGCAAAGGTGGAGTAGAGCTGGCTTTAGGCTGGATTAGAGTTTCCAAAAAACAACAAAAACAACGATGCGCAGCATTTGGATGAAGCCCACAACATGTTTAGGAGTGACAACAAGTTCCTGACAAAG